ACGTGGGCTTATGGGGGTGGGGGGAGATGCAAACAGCGTCCTCCAACACCGCCGCCCGCTCACGGGGTGGGGGTGGGGCCGCAGCATCCTCCAGTAGCACATTGAGTGTCACCGGGGGACACACGCAGCATCTTCCAACACCACCGATGTGGGATGCACACAGCGTCCTTAAACACCGCAGGCTCACAGGGGAGATGCACACAGCGGGTGTCACGGGGGTTGGGGTCAAGCTGGACAGTGGTGAGGCTACTCTGCTTCCTTCCTGAAAGCCTCCCTGGTCGCCCCGTGTACCCTGTGCAATGTGTACAGTCCTCTTTGCCGCCCCCTTGCATGGCACGTCTATTTTATCTTTTCTTTTGCACTTCTGGAGCGCGTGGATACCTCCTGTTTTGATAGATTCTTACATAAAGCCTTGTTGGCGAAGGCTGTGCCCAGTGAATGAGCCTGGAAATTCAGGGCCAACAGGAGCCAGAACGAAGGACCAGGGACGCTTCTGAGCACAGTCAGTGCACTTTACTGTGTCCTCATGGCCCCAAGTGACAGTGCTACTCACTAGTTACGCCTGTTAACATGATACTGTTCAGCTAATGTATCTTAAACCGCACCTGTGCGTACGAGATAAGAGGCTCACAGTGCTCTGCTGGCTTGACAGACTGGAACGTTAGGTGAGCAGTGACGGGATGCCCCTGCACCCTGCCAGGCTCTGGGGGTGCTGTGGGCATCTGGGGTCTGAGCCCTAGGACCCTACTCACCCAGGGGCCTAACATCTCTTAGCAGAAGGGAATTTGTCAAATGGATTCATGCTGAGATGACATGTTCTTCAAACTGAGCAGGTGGGCCTTGGTGTGTCTGCGCTGATTCCTGGCCACCTGCAAGTAGCACACCACACCTCCTGTGTCCTTGACATTGTGTAACCCAGAAACTCTCCTCCTGCCAGAAAGATCCTGATTCGAGCTCAAGGCCTGGAAAAGAACTCACACTGGTCGGGTTCCAGCCCCTCCTCCCCTCTTCAGACATCCAAATACTTGTTCTCTGCAATTTCTGCTTTTTAGTTCGGATTCTTCAGTATAAGCTATGAGTTGTTTTGAGATGAAAACAACTTAACTTAGTAGGAGACACTGGACAGGCATTCGCTGAAATATTACTTTGCATTAAGGATTAGCAGACCTGTGACTCTGGGCCTGGAGAAGCCCCCGTCCCAGTGTCCTCTGAACATACACACGGGGCTCAGGAAGCAGGAGTGGCCCTTGATTGGTGCTTTCTGCGACTCTCACAGAGGCTCACTACTTTTTAATTCTGAAAGTACAGAACTCAAACATGTGACTCTACTTGAAGCTCATTGTCCTAGACACGGGGACACAACTTATGTCATGACATTTGATCCACACATCAAACTTACAATTCCTTCTTCAACAAATACTTATTAAATAAATGAGCTGAACAAATGTATTTATCTTTGATTCAGTTCAATCAAACCTGAAGCTTTCTTACCGAGTCAGGTGGTCACAGTGGCCCACTCATCTGAAACACCTGCTTCACCCGTGTTCACCTGCTCACTGCCTGACCATGTCTTTCCTGGTTTTATTTACACATGTCCACCTTGTACTCAGCCTAGACCCCCAGGTCAGTGAAGGCAACAGAAGGGAGGGTCCCCACAGCCTTTACAGTCTGAGCTGTATGTGCAATTGCTTGGCAAGTTTTATAAGAAGTTCTGCGTAAAGAGCAGGTGTCACTGTTACCACGACACGGCTGTCACTGTTCTCATCACCCGTCTCAGCATTCATCATCCACAAGCAGACATAGTTCTTATCTTCTTCACATGATCACAAACTACTTCCCTGATGAGCTCCCTCTTCTTTGTGTTTTGCACATTTGCTGAACGGCAGGTTCCAGAAGGCCCAGTGATTTCAGAGGTTAAGGCCCAGTGATTTCAGAGGTTAACTTAACTAGCAACAGGACTTGCCTTTACTCCCATCTGTATTCCCACTTTCAAGTAAAAACACTTTTTTCTTGTTTTGAGGAAATCCTTTTTCCATCTAGACCCATCTGAGTGTGGAAAGGAAATATCAGTGATTGACTTTTAATCAGAAGTGCAAGTGCCGATCCCACTGACACGAAGATCAGCTAGAGCCTCCCCTGAGCTGCGGCAAGTGTGAGGCTGGGTGAGCTGCCTCCTGCAGCGGCCAGCGCTGCCAGGCCCTTATCTCAACTGCCATCAGACATTGACTTGCTCAGCCCCCAGTGACTTAAATAATTCTTGCCTTGATTGTTTAATTAAATTCAGGTATGGTTCAGAGGACAGCAAGGGCCTCATGTCACTATAATAATGAGAGTTTTTGAAGTTTTAACTCTGGCAGACTATTAAAAATACAATTATGATTCAACTAAAAGCTTTATAAAGTATAGGTGTAATTTTCTAAGCAATGAAATCGTCAATCATTACCTGTGATGATGGAGGGATAAGTAATGGGACATGCACCATTTTCAGGTCATCAGTTCACACAGGGGAAGCCTGCAGGCCTTGGGCTTCCATTAAGCACAGCACACACATGAGCATGCACAGACACACACACACACACACACGCACACACATGAGCACACACATGTGCACACACAGATACACATACACACACACATGAGCACGCACAGACACACATATACACACGTGCACACACATGAGCATGCACACGCACACACACGCACACACAGACACACATGTACACACGTGCACACATATGAGCACGCACAGACACACAGACACACACACGCACACACATGAGCACACACGTGCACACACATACACACGTGCACACACATGAGCACATACACATACACATGTGCACACACACGCACACATGAGCACACACACACATACACACATGCGCACACACACGCACACATGATGAGCACACACATGTACACAAACGTGCACACACATACACACGTGCACACACATGAGCACACACATACACATGTGCACACACATGCACACACATGAGCACACACACATACACACATGCACACACATACACACACACGAGCACACACATGTGCACACACATACACACGTGCACACACACGCACACACAGTGCACACACACATGCACACACATGAGCATGCACGGACACACATATACACACGTGCACACACACGCATGCACACGCATGAGCACACACATACATACGTGCACACACGACCACACACATACACATGTGCACACATGCAAACACATACACCACACACGTGCACACACATATACACACATGTGCACACATGTGAGCACACACACATGCACACACATGAGCATACACACATGCACACACGAGCACACATGCACACACATACACCACACATGTGCACACATATGCACACATGTAAGCACACACACATATACACACATAGACATATGCACAAACATGAGTACACATGTACACACATATACACACACATGCACATATACACACACACATGCACACATGCACACACACATTCCAGTGCTTTGGGCAGGGCTGGGTGACATAAGCGTATGACCTTAGTCCACTTTCCAGTAGTGAATGGAAAAGTCAGCTTAACAAAAATATAAATCACAAATGCTGCCTTTATTTTCCTGTTGCCAGTAAAATCAGATGGAAAGTAATTAATAACAGAGAAATTACATTCCTGGTTGTCCATTTCCTAGGAGAAAGGTCAAGTTCAGTTTCAGTATGGCAGGAGTACAGCCACCCCACTGCCATGGGCCCTGGTGCTAGTCAGGATGAGTGCAGGAAGGTCAAAACAGCTTGGGCAGCAAGTGGGGCTCTTCAAAATTTTTTCATAGGTGGTTCCTCAAGGTAAAGCAGCTTACTGAATTATTAACCTAAGCAATCTTGTCTAACATGAATAATTTTCATGAATAATTGCCAGACATTGCTCATTCTGTGGGTATAACACAAGGAGATGACACAGTGACACAGCACCCGTCTCTGAGAGCTGCCAGCCCAGGTCTAGATCTGCACCGAGTCCCCAGCCAACGGCCCCACCTCATGCTGCTTCATTTCAAAACCGGCAACACTGAAGTTGGGAAGTGAGGGAGCAGACCAGGCTCTACCCGGCCTGCCAGATCTCCTGTCCACACCCACACTCCCCAAACTGCTCAGCACGTCACCCAAAACAACAGCATCCCCGCACATTATAGAGATATATGCACACACATACACAGACCTGAGAGTACCAACAGGTAACAGGAGAGTGATGGCAAACAATTAATGGGAGGGCTCGCCACTGTCCTCAGTCGTTTGGGATTCCCCAACAGCAGCTAACTGTGGAACGAGCTTAACTCACAAGATCAAGTTCGATGCACAAGACAGGGGAATAGAGACAGACACAGTCTTAGGCTCATGTGTGAACAGGGAAGTCAGGGAGCAGATGATGCAAATGTAAACATGGGCATTGCTGTGGCTCTAATCTACGCACAGAGGGGCGCCAGAATGAGTGGGGACCGAAGGGATAGCAGTACAGCTCCTGGTGACAGTCCTGCTGGGTCCATGTAAACTCCCTTTACAGACCTAACTCAATGCATCCAGGCTCCTTTGGTGATTCCCTCGCAGGGGAAGGCCCCAGGCTCCGCCCTCCGTGCACACACACTTACTTGTGTCCAGACTCGTGGGCGATGGTGAAGGCCAGTCCGAGACCCGAGTCTTCATTAATCGTGCAGCTGCGGTATTTGCTGCACATCCCACTTATGGGTGCAAATCCTGTGGGGGCACAAAGGTCAGAGAGGATGCAGCAAAGTGTCGCAATGAAATAAAGAAGGAGTTGTACCTTCATTTCCTTTCCCCTGGGGAAATACAGAATGGGAAGTGCTTAGACAACCACATGACGGGCACTTTATTCTGTGGGGGAAGAGGATTTGTTCCTCGGAGCTCAGGGACTCTACGTCTCATGCAAAGAAAAAAAAAAGCACCATGTAATATTCCTTGTATGGGCTCTAACTGGGGCAAAATAGAAGTGGACGTTTACTGCCAGTTGAGCAGTATTTTGTCTTTTTCTATAAACATCTACGGTCTGAAAAGCCTTGTGAAAAAGTCAGGCAGAGAATGGGTATGTTGGGAGGTCCCCAAGACCACCTCTGGGCTTCATGGTTGGAGTTTATCGCCCTGCCCATTTGTCATACCCACAGGTATGTTTTAATGCAGCAAACCAAGCCTTCAATACAGGCAGGAGTGTCACGATCCTGCCCGACGGAGTCACACAGACATGTTTACTTCCCCCAGCCAGGAGCTGTGGCAACAGGGGCTAAGTGTTGTCAACAGGGAAGCTCATTAGAGACTTGGTATCCAAAGTGTTTGTGGGGGGGCCGGGTGCCCCGTGTCCAGATGTAATAAAATTCCAGGCTCGTAGAAGGAAAGCAGGTGGAAGGTGTGAGCCACAGGGTTTGTGCTGACAGTTTAGGCACAGTGAGCTGCTCTCATCAAGTGATGTGCGGGAGCCAACCCAGAATGTGAGTTCTCAGAAGCCAGCCCGGGGCGACGCACACGTGCAGGCCTTTCTAAGGGCCGGCAGTGAGGCCACTATGTTATCTCTTTTCTGCATAATAAGACTAGCTTCTACTAAACGGGTCCTACCTCAAAGGTTTTATAAATAAAAAGCATCTCTCTTTAAAATCTTGGGAAGAAACAGACAGTCAGAAAATCATACTGCGTGGCAGAGTCCTGGCCAGTGGTGTCCTGCTCGGCCTGACCACGTGGAAAGGACAAAGCACCACCCTGCGGCCACCCAGTCTCGTGACTACTAGACAACTGCTAATATGGAAGTATTTGTAAAGAAATGGAAAAATGGGAATATACTGTTGTAGTATCCCTATAAATATTCACCAATGTATGATTTCTGTCACAAAATGAGACACCCTTGGGCCCATCGACTTTATTTCCACAAATGACAGAAGAAAGGGAAGCAATTATTTCTGATGTTAGGAGCGACTGGCCCTCTGGAATCTGTGAGGGACTTATCCTTGTTGGAGGATCACTCTGATGAGTGAGACCATCCCTTTATGTTTGGCCTAAGTTTATGCAGGGAAGTGAGTCTGTTCTGCTCACAGTGGCTACTGCTTAGGAATCTGAAGCAACAGCAGAAACACTGAACACTGGGTGCCACACACAACAGGTGCACACCCCGCACTCGGTCCTCTCAGCTCTAAGGGAGGGTCTTACCCAAAGTATCACAGGGCTCATTCTTCCAGGAGCATATATCCAGACCGGTCAGTAAGATGGCATGGTCATGGCGGGTCCCGTCTCTCCCCCGCAGTCCAGACTGCCACTGGCAGAAACTACTCAAGGTGTGGTCCGCGTGGTGGCTAATCGCCAGTCCTGGCTGTGCAAGAGAGACCAAGGACCCCATGACGATG